CATCTTAGCTGTAGAGGGCAGTGTCACTGGCCCTCATATGTGGGATCCGAACCGGGGCCCTCTGGCGTCCCAAGCCAGTTCTTAACCATTGTGCCACTCGGCCGGCCCCACTTTTGGTCTTTTATATGAAAAAAAACAAGGGTTTTGTTTTGTCATTGTTTTCAACACCCTTCCTGATGATGCCCACCATATTCTTGGCTTTGAGGATCACTATCACAACTGGGACAACATCTTCACAGAATGATCAACAGTGGTTTTTTTTTTACTCTAATAATCATATTGTGTATTGTCTAACTCAGAGAGACCGATGAGATGTTTCTCTTGAGATCATCTCCAGTGAGAATCCAGATAAATCTACAGGTACTCCAGCTAAAGGAGACACTTATGATTCCAGGTCTGAGGTGACCTAACTTTTTATCATCAGCAACTCTGTCCCTACTGGGGAGGCTTTTCTGTAATAATTCCCTTGGAGAACTTTGCTGTTTTCTCTGTTATGTGTCCTGACTGCCCTAATTTCCTTCTGTATCTTGTTTTAAAAGTTTTTAAATTGAGGGATAACATACATACATCTTCAGTGGTTTCTAGATCCCTTTCTTGAGTCATAACTGAGCCCATCATATCATAAGCATGGAGGAGTTTGCATTACCTTATACAATGAAGTAGCTCTGACTGTTCTGCCCACTGGGTCTCATGAAATCTTCCTGCAATCTTTTCTCATCAGCTTGGCTTCACTCCTTGCAGATAAACGGGTGAGAAACCTAAATGTTCTGCCCATTGAAGGGTGTATTATTTTTATCTTTCTTCCTTTCCACCTAAGAGTTGCTGTAACAGCAACTGTCTCTGTTGGAAAACTAAAATATAAAAATATGACCTACGTGGCCAAATCCCACAAGGCAGTTTACTTCCTTATTTATGAATCAGAATCTGTCAGCACATCTTAGAATCTTGATTGTCAGCAGATACTGCAATTAAATGTCCCCGCAAAGCCAGCAGAGGGTGCACCAGGGCACTGAAAACTTTACCCAAAATGTAACAGTATCAATTTAACTCTAATAGCCAATCAACTTTTTATCTTTTTGTTCTTTGGTATATTAAAGATAAACTTAATTTGAATCTGGGTTAAAATTCCTTCAAAGCATACTCTAATATTCCTGAAAGTGAAATTCTGGTTGAATAAGGAATACATGGTTAAACTTAGTCTGGCCAAAATGTACGTGGAATAGAAGAAAGTGACATAGACCTGAACCATATACTTCGTAAAAATTCTGCTATGGAGACCCACCCCGCTCCCCTCCAAAAGGTTCTAGGAGGTAGTATTCTTTAGGGGAATGGGCATGGAACTAGGAGTCAAGAGACCAACTTCCATTCTAATTTTGACCATAGTTGCATGACCTTGGACAAATCACTTCCACTCAAAGCCTATGTGTTCTCCAAGGTGATCAAATAAAATGAAATCATATGGCCCCTTACAACTCTTAAAAAACGGATTCCAATTGATGTCAGCAAATGTAAAGAGCCAGTATGCTTGCTTCCACTGCTCAAAAAGATTAAAATGGAAAGAATAAAGGACAACAGATAGGGAGCTGTATTTAAACCTAGACAGAACTACTTGAAGTGCTCTGCAAAGAACAGGCAACTAAGTGCCATTATAGACCTGTGAGAGTCTCACACCATCACAGAAGCCCTAGAGTCCAGCTGTCCTGCTAATCCTCAGCCTATAAACATGGGTCAGTCTGTTCGGAATGCCAAAAAGCCTTGGCCACCATTTGACTGAAGAAATTCAAGTCCTTCATCTTTTCACAAAATATGAACGTTTAGCTGCTAAGTATTCTACTGGGCATTGGAGGGGGGTGGTGGATACATAAAGTGAGCCAGAATCCCAGTTAATTATCATTTAGCTACAGTGTTTAAAGTTTCAAGTATGAGAAGCATGTCTACTGATTCTCTTCTTTGATAAGCTGTTATATAAGTTGGAGTGTGCTAGCAAGACATTTTAAGGCTAAGGGCCAGTTTACAATGCACATTATAGAAAATGTGTCAGTCCTAATATTCCGGTATTATCGTGAATGTGATGCCTGCTTTGGATGGGTGGTCAAAGCAGCACAAATAATGTTTACAGAGTATGACAATGACGCTGGATGTGGAAGTAAATACAGAAGGCCTGGGTCCCTCACCTCAAGGAACTTATTTGCACAACTTGCCCTCTTCCCCAAGAGGAAGAAATTCACTATTATTCTTTAACCACCTGAAAATGATTCATGGATGCTCCTCTTAAATTTCACATAAGACAAAATATGGAGATCAAGAGAATACTTATTGTAAATGCACTAAACATACTTGAATAGAGCTAGAAAAAGTAGAAAACAAATACCAAAGCTAATAGTTTGTTAACAAGGGTACAAATACCATAAAGATTGCAAAAACAAACAAACAAACAAACTGCTCTTGAGAGATTACTCCTGAGGAATTTATTCCATCAGTAGCTTCCTGTTCTCAAGCTAGCAGCAGGGAAGATACTTTGCACCCTCCCTCTCCATCCCACTTCCCAAAAAAGTCGAACCGGCATGCAAAGGGTGAGTTTTATTTCCATAGATTTTTAAAATTGCTCTTTAGAAGTTGCCTAGCAAGACGGCATATTTCTACCCGAATTCCTCAGGGGCGCTGATCCTCACTAGAATACCGAGGACAATCAGTCTCAAGTTGCAGGTAAGTGTGAACAAGCCCACGTTCTGGTCAGCGCACAAGGACCCGCGCTGAAAATACCATTAAAAGTTGTTTCAACGGGCATGGAGCAGTTACTACAGCTGTTTACAGCTCCAACTCCAAAGGAGAGCCTGCTAGTGCTGGCATCAGCTCTGGACACGAAAAAACAAGCACCGCGGGCAGAGAACCTCACCAGGAGCAGAAGGGCCAAGCTGCTGCCGTTAGTCCGCCAGAGGGGCAGCGCCTGCACCTCCGCGCCGCGGCCCGGCCGGGAGCTCCGCCAACTTTCCCAGAGGCAGCCTGTAGCCGGGGGCGGCGGGTGCCGGCTAGAGCTCCCAAGTCCAGGGGTCCTGAAGGAGTCTGGGTGAGCTGGGCCAGGGACCCGCGACAACCTGCCCCGGGGCAACCTCTCTCCTGCTCGCGCGCCCCCTCCCTGGTCCTGCCCTCCAACTTGGCTCGAGGTGGCAGAGTCCTCCCCAGGGCCGGTGGGGAGCCCCCCTCCCCCGCCGCCGCCCCTACTAGGTGACTCACCTGGTGCACGTCCTGGGAGTCTGGGGGGAGTGTGGTTTCTCCCGGTTCTAGCGGCTGCTGCTGAAGTGACGGCTGCCCAAAGTGGCGGGTGATGGGACCGTCGGGGTCCAGGCCACCGGGGCTGCTCAGGGTGCCAGAGGTGCCAGGAATGCCAGGGGTGCCGGGGCCGCCAAGGCGGGACTCGGCTCCCCGTTCCCGCCGCAACTCGGAGCGCAACTCTAGGTAGCAGCACAGCGTCAGCAGGTGGAGGGCCAGCGAGAGGCCAAAGAAACCCAGGAAGAGCCGGCAGCTGTTCCCTTCGGCCGCCCGGGCAGGGGCCCCGCGACAGCCGCAGCCCTGGCTTCCCCGCTCCCGCGGCGCTGCCGCGGGCAGGGGCTCCCTGCGCTCTACCTCGGGATAGCCCATGGCCTCCGGAGACGCCCACTCTCTGAGGCCCGGGAGCCGCCGCGTCTGCCTCAGCCGTTCACGACCCCTGACAGGCGGCTACTGTCCTGCCATGGGCTGGGGGCTGCAGGGACCCGTTCCAGCGCGACCGAGGCTGGGCGGGACGGAGCAGGGAGCAGCCGCATGTGCAGCTCCACTCCGAGGGGTGGGAAAGGGAGGAGGAGGGGCGGGAGAGGGGCGGCTCTGCCCGCCGAGGGAATGAGGGAGGAGGCCCCGGCCAACCCCGCCCCATCCCTCGAGCGGCTGCTGGGGCACCCAACCACCGGGCCCGCCAAGCCTAAGCGCCCCGCCCCCTGGCGTTCCACCCTGGGCCTCCAGCCGCGGGGCGGGGCCTGGGGGCGTGTGGGTTCGCTTCAGCCTGCTGGCCCCACCCAGCTCTTCCCGCTTGCCCCATTCCAGTTGGTGATTGTCGCTGTCGTTCATCCCTGGACTCCACCCCAATTTAACCCTTTAGCGCCAGTACGGGGAAGGGGAGAGAGAGAGTGGGGAGGCTAAGAATTGGTGAGCCTTGGAAAGAAAGTAGAGCAAAGAAAAGGAGGCAGAAACTAGTATTAATAGAAATGTTTGCAATTAACTGCAGTTGCTAATAACATCATCCAGTACTTATCTGTTGCTTTCAATCTTCAAAGCATTTAACAGACGTTAAACTAATTAAAACAGTTCTGGGTTTGGAATGAAACCATGCCTGCTGTGTTTTCAATCCAATGGCGCGCCAAAAGAAAAGGAGACTCAGGAGCCAGGGAGGCACAGGGAGCGAGAATGGGATGCGACTGAGGCAGCCCCATCCTGAAGTGAGTCTGGGGCCTCAATCCAAGTGATGGAGAAGCCCACCTGTGCAAGTGGAGTTGAAACGATGTTGCGCACGCAGGGTATAACAGTTCCCTGGGATTTCTTGATATGCTAATTAATGCAACAAATATATATTGATCCCTTTACAACGTAGAAAGTGCTGTATGAGAGAATCCACAGCCAGCATACTTTTTCTTCTTCCACCGCAGAAGGAATTTTGAGTGGAGAACATGTGCCTTCAATGAGCAAATGGGGAAACTGAGAGCCAGAATGAGGTGGATTTTTACAAGGGTGGCCCACAGAAGGACCAGACAATATTGGCATCTCAATGTGCAGGCAACTGTTCTGGCCTCTCCACCCCTCCCTTCCTTTCCCTAGAGTAATCCCTGGGGAAGGTTCAACAAGTCAGCCAAATGTTCCAGATGTACACTGCTGCAACCGCAGCATCTTCAACAGCTGCGCCAATCAGAAAAGGGATCAGAGCAAAACAACAAAAAAGAGTGGCAAACGTCAGAACAATAGACCCAGAAGTGAAGAATGGAAAGGATTAGTTGAGTTGCCATTGACAAGAGTTACTAGTCTGGGAGTCTAGAGAGCTAAATGACCATAGCAGGGGTGGGGGTGGGGAGGACTATGTATGCTTCTTGGCCACTATGCATTCCCAGTCTCATGTTATGAATAATTAGCAGTTGTATTGACTTGAAGAGGGCAGGTCTAAGTAAGGCCTAGGCTGGTGGGAAAGAAGAAAAATAGAGGGATTAAAAAAGAAGAGAAACAAAAAAAAAACAGAAACAAAGCATATGGTGGGGAGGTCAGTCCAGAGAGCACAGAGGTTAAAAACCTTAAATATATTAGCCACAACCAACTTTTCTTCCAGACACTCTGTGAATTGTCTCAGTGCTTCAGAAACATTTTTGTGTCCCCTCATTGGCCCTTAACCATAAAATATCAAGTTTGCAAACAATACCACCGTCATGCAGATAAGAAAATAAAAAGGGGCATTTAACAGCTCATCTCAAGTGCTGCTTATGCAGTATAGGAACTCTAGATGCCAGGGAAAACGCCCGGCTGATTTACCTTAATTATCACAGTCCAGAACTATTACCATGTTTCCCTGAAAATAAGCCCTAGCATGATTTTTCAGGATGCTTGTAATATAAGCCCTACCCCAAACATAAGCCCCAGTTAAGAACATCAGCCAGGCATGACTGTTTGAATAAATGTAGATTTTTGTACGTGAATAAATGAATAAATGTAGATTGTTGGAGCAAAAATTTATACAAGACCCAGTCTTATTTTCGGGGAAACATGGTAGAAAGAATGCTAGGTTAGGAGTCAGTAGACCTGCCCCTGCCACTGATTTGCTGGGTCACCCTGAGCAATTGTCTGTGCTTTTTGGGACCTTAGTTATTCCAACTGTGAAATGAGTAGTTTGAACTTTAACAGCTTTCCCTGTGTCATCATTAGCTGTGCTGACTTGATTGCATACACAGTTCAAAGAGGCTGTCCCTTCTCCCCCTAAGTGAAAAGGGAACAGACAACAGCCATCTCCTGGTAGTGGTGCTCAGGAACCTTACTGGGTTCAGCTTACCATGTTCTCCCAGGCTTTTAAGAGCTTGACTGAGACAGTGGGTTGCACCATTGCCCTCAGAAGGCCCTACAAGTTGCATTTGACCTGGGACCTCACCTTGGTTCCCCAGAGGAAGAATACATGGCTTCATATGCAGTAAAAACGTTGGAATGGGACAATCCAGTGAGGGATGTACATTGTTATTTTTTAGCGTTTTGAAGTGTTATTTCAGTTAGCTTCTATGCTTCTATAAGTACCCCATCCCCTACAGCTCAGGTCTCATAATGGTCGCCTACAGGCCACGCCCAACAAACAGATATGTGTTTGGTGTAGTGCTGGCTAAAATTCTGAGTTAAAAAAAATTAATTACCATCATTTAGAAATGAGGTTTTACATTAAAAAATCCAGATATCCTGCTTCTCTATTAAAAAATGAGAAAGTCTGCTAACACAGGATCCACATTCCCATGTGACTGCAGTCAGCTAGAACTGCCCCCTTAAGAAAAATGTGAGTAATCAAGTTCCACACAGTCATCCCCACCTCCTTCCTCGAGCCTCCATTACTGTCTTTGTCACTCATTTATCTTACTTTTCTGGCTCCATGTACTCTAGGAAACAAAGTATCAGCTCTTTAGCATGACCTGTAATCTGCCTCTCCAACCTCATCTTCCATCAACCTAAGAGGAACCCATGCTCCCACAATACTAAATTTGTTGACATTTCTCACGCTTCTGTATCTTTCCACAAACTGGTTTCTTTGCCAGGAATGCCCCCACCTTGGAAACCTGATAAAAAATTTTTTTTAAGATTTTATTGGGGAATTGGGGGAGGGGAACAGTGCTGGGGAATTTGGGGAAGGGGAACAGACAAGTTGCTGCCCTTTTGTTCTTCAGCCTAGTTGTGGAGGACGTTGCTTCACTGGCCCATGTTGGTATTGTGATCATTGCGCTCTTCCCGGGTGAGGCAGATGGGTTGCCGGCCACTGGACGGCTGCTCATGGCGGCTCTTGGCAGCTCATGCCAGCTGCCGGCCGCTCATGCTGGCTGCAGCCCACTGCAGCCCCACTGCAGCCTACGCCATCGCCGGAGACAGGCAGCCCAGTTCCAGCTTGAGCTGTGGTTCACCATCTTAGCTGTAGAGGGCACAGCATCACTGGCCCTAATGTGGGATCCGAACTGAGGTCCTGCTGCTCAGAGCTGGCGTCCCAAGCCAACTCCTAACCAACGTGCCACTCAGCCAGCCCTGATAAATTCTTTAAGAATCAAATTATGTGTTCCCTCTGGTTTGGCCCAACAGCTCACTTTTCAAACGGATTTTTCTTTATGTTTTCACCACACCCTGAGCATATCTCAATGATATCCCTTACCACATTGTATTCTTATTTCTCACCACTAAACTGTGAACTCCCTGATGGTAAGAACCATGTCCTTTCCATTTTGGTAGTCTCAGTACCTAGCATAGCAATGACCACATAGTAGGCACCAGTGTTGTTTGTCAAATGAATGGGGCATGAAAGCTGCTACGGTAACGTAGTCTACCTAAAATTCCAAAAAGGGAACTGGGCCAAGGGATGCCTGTCAGTACCACTTATGAAGGACCTACTGTGTGCAGAGCTGCATAACACATTATGGAAAGATATAAAGGAAATTGAGCCGAAAGGACAATTGTACAATTAACCCTATATTTGATTTAGTGTCAAGAGTTGTACACAATCCAGAAAGTAAACAATCAAGAAATTCAAATATCTTTGGTTTGTAGTATTTCATTGGATTTCCATCACATCAAGTTTCCCTTCCTAATTTTGTTTGTTTGGGCCTAACATTAAAATAATATTAGTTGAGAATAGCTGAATAATAAATATTCAAAATGAATTGACAACCTCTGGTGGAATATGATGAGCACTTAGGCAGGAACTGGTTTTAAATACCTCTTAGCTCTACTTAATCCACAGAACAAATCATTGACACAGAGATCACAGGGATAACTCTATGACTCACTTAGGGATAAGCAGATAGAAAGTCAGGAGGAACATGGGCTTAGGACTTGAATTCTGGTTTGAATCCCAGCATATTCACTTATCAGCTGTGTGACTCAGGACAAGTAATTTTTGCTTGTCTTGCAGAGCCTCAATTTTCTCATCTGTAAAACAGAGACAACAACATATGCATTGTAAGATAGCTGTGCTTAAACGGGATGCTACATGTCAAAGTGTCTGTCACATAATAAATGCACAGTAAATGCTAGTTCCTGCTGTCTAAGAGACTTCCATCAAAATGAGATGAGAGGAAAAACATATAACAGCATTCAAAAACATGACAGAAATGCAAAAAAGCATCTACATACTTTGCCCTTGCCAAATGCTTGCCCCCTCTTTTTTTTGCATTCTTAAAGTTTGAGGTGGAACCCTTTGGTTCCGATCATCCTTTCCTGAACTCTTGACTCGTCTATCCAACCTCTTCCTGTCCATTTCTACTTGGATGTCTAACAGATGTCTTAAACTCAACATGACCCAAACCAAAGCTCTTCTCCCCTAAAATGTGCTTACCCCTTGGCTTTCTGCATCTCAGCAAATGGCAATTCTGTCCTCCCATTGCTCAAGACAAAACTTTGAAGTCATCCTTGAACCCTCTCTGTTTTGAACACCCCACACCCAATTTGTCAGCAAATGTTGTCAGTTCTGCCTTTAAAGTATACCAGAGCCTGACCACTCCTCACCACCTCCCTGTCACCATGCTAGTCCAAGCCCCCATGCTCCCTTACTGAATTACTATTTTACCCTTCTCTCAGGTCTGCATGCTTTCTGCTTTTGTCCTTGCACCCTGCAGTCTATTCACTACCCTGT